ATATATGCATACTTCAGATGAACACTATTCTAACCGCATTAATCTATGCTGGCAAAATAAGTAAATAAGGAATCTGGTAACAAGACACATGATGCATAAAACTACTAACAACTAGTTCAAACAACACTTCACACATTTAGCTACCTGCTCTTGAAAGAAGCAAACCAAATTCTTTTTATATTTTCTTGCAACATCCCAATTTTTAATATATTTTTCTCTTAGTCTGTACTTTGTGTTAAGAGTTAACAAATTTGCAACTCAAGTACCTTCTTATTATGTTAATGATGAAGTCCCCAGTTAGTAGAATCAGGTACTTTAAGCATTTGAAAAGTGCATAATATATTGTTGATGATTACAGAATTTATAAACTATTATTTTCCATAGAACATGTTCAGCACCAACAGAAATATATTGCCAAGATGATTTACTGCTACTGTATGAATTATTTTGGATTAGACATAATAATACATTTTTATATTCCTTCCTACAATTGGCAGTCCCTTTTGATTGTACATGTCCTTGTCAGCCTGTGTTCCTTATACATTACAACAGAGGCAAGCACCCTTATTTCTAAGATAAAATCATGCATGCTCATGGCTCAGGTCATTTACAGCCCTGAGGTCTTATCTGCAGTCATACCAAGTGGATGGAAAAGGACTTTTACACTTAGCTAACCAAGAAATGAGCAAAATACTTAGTTTAATGTAATTCTTCCCAAAAGAAAACAAAAAATACAGTGGTACAGTGATTAAGGCATTGGATTAGAAATAGAGGCTTAGTTCATCCTTAGCTATGGAAACTCACTGGGTGACTTTGGCCCAAGTCACTCTCTCTCAGGCTAATCCCACTCACAGGGTTGCTGCTGAGGGGAAAATAGGAGGGAGCACTAAGTATATCACCTTGAGTTCCTGGATGAATGGTATAAATCTGGTATTTCACCAGGAAAACATCATTAGATTCTAATTGTCTAAGATTAATACATGCAAATTGCCAGATGATTCTTGTTGTTTATTACACTGGGATTAATTCTTCTCTCCCAACCCAAAAGATAATGATATGGTGAATAAATCATACTTGGGTGGTTTTTCCACTGTGCGGTATGTATTGAATGCTTGTAGCTGTTGCTGCACACCAATCAGTGAGTTAGCAAACTTGCGATTGTTCAGAATGATAATGGTTTGTTCAATCCACTCAAGGAGATCAGAGGCAAGAGACTCATATTTCTCAATCATCTTCTCGGTTTCAATTGCATTGTCAAGCACCTGTAACAAGCAGTTCAAGGAAAAGTGATAAGGATCAAACTTCTTCAGATAAAAATTGTGGCAATGTGAAGATGGTGTTCATGTCTACAGGTTTATATGTTCATGCAATGTATTTCGCAGCAACCCAAACAAGTGGGCAAATGAAATTTTAAAATTGGGACTGCTGAGATAATGGATAAAAAAAATGCACATGCCCAAATAAAGTGCTAGCATTCATAAGAGTATTTAAAAGGGAATAACTACATTGTGAATTAATTCACCTTAATAGTTCATGCCAAATCCACATTGAGATACAAAAAGTGCTATTGCAGTGGCATTAAAATTTGCATATGACGAAGCTGAGTAAGAAAAACAGATAAGCATGTTACATTCCATATTTAAAGCCTTAATGGGGTACCTTTCCAATTCGCTTTCCTTCAACAGCTAAGGCTTTCATCTTAGAAAAATAGTGGTAATATGTCACCACGTAGGTGATAATAGACTTTTCATCTGGATGGTCAACACTGATATCTGAAAAGCAAACAAGAATTGTTTTAATGCAGAGTTGGATAAGGACCAGGGCTTAAATCAGACAAGGCACTGGGAGTAAGTCAATACAGAGTTTCATACAATCCATTTTCATACTGCACTGTCACAATGTTCAGAATTGATCATATACTGATAGTCCAGACTCACTCATATTTTATATTCATAGACATATATAGTTGGCGAGACAGAAAAAGTGAGAAGATTCATGACTTGGAATACAAATACCACACTTTCCAATCCAGACTCTAATACTTAAGCACCATTAAGTGTGCTTTCCTGCCCTTCTTCAGAGTATTAATTGCAGAAGATAAAGGTAGGGAAACATAAATTACTGTGTTATCATAAAACAAATTGTATTTTTATAGATATTATGGACTGAGAGTCTGAGCTGATCTTAAACCACTGACTTTGGCAGGTGTAACGTACAATGTTCTGTTTCAGCTTTCATTAGAGTGCTGGAGTTGAGAATTTAAAATTAAATCTAGACTGATTCCCTGGTTTGATATTTACTTGGACTCTATGATTTGGCTGAAAAAACAGTTAATCATCTTACACACAGATAACGGAATAAAAGGCAGACACGATATAGGTAATTATTTTGCTTAACAGTCAAAATTATAATGCCTTGGAAAAAGTGACTCATGATTTGTACTCACACTATCACACCATCTCTGATGTCACATGATCTCAATTCAAGTGGTTGGCAACCAGTTTGCAATTAGGACTGGTTGCAATGTCCTACGGTAACGGGATCACTATTTGCTACCTTTTTTGCTGCTTTCCACACAAATATGACACTTAGGGAAACTGAATTTCCTTAACAATCACATGATGAGCTTAATAACTTTGGTGATTCACTTAACAACTACCATGAAAATTGTTATATAATCAGATTCGATTCAACATATGATTGCAATGATTTACAGTGGAAATTCTGGCCCCAGTTGTGGTTATAAGTTGAGGACTGCTAGTAAGGCAATCTGTGTAACTCAGTGAATATAACAGAAAAATGGATTTGTTATCTCCCTCTAAAAATTGTATTACCCTCCAAGAAGCCCTCCTTCTGAGTTTTGTCACATTTTGTTTAACACATTGGTTTGGAGATTAAAACATTTGGAAAGGAGATTTTGGCTGGCTACAAACGAGGCAGTGGATACAGGAAAATGTAAGAAGAGAAGTTTGTTTTACTGCCAAGAGTTCTTACCTTCAGGATCCAGGAGTTTAGTAAGGCCAAGGTGTTGCTCTGCCAGGTTAAAAGCATTCTGCAGATTGTAGTGTGCATTTGATTTCTTCAGTTTATCAAAATCAATTAAATCAGGCCTAAGAATATAAAATATATTCACCTAAATTTGTCCTGTATTATGCAGGAATATTAGCAAAGGAATCAGACAGATAAAGAATCAAAGTCAGTAAGAAATGAGATACGGAATACACTTTTAAACCGAGGCAGGCTCATCTACATCACCTCTGTGGCAGAAAAAACTACCCCAATATATATTAATCAAGGAGAATAAAAACACAAATAGGGAGAGAGGAAACATGACACTGTGACATGAGAAAAAAATGATTCGCGAAAGATAAAATGCATGCAGGTACGAGCTGGAGCATGCAACTGAAGCAAACGAGCAAGAATGAAGCCCAAAATCAATCATTTGCCTCTTGGGAGAAGACAGCAAAAAGGGTTTAGATATGCAATTTCCCAGCCAAATTATTGATTGCAGTCTTTTAACGTTATTTCAATCATATTGTTTTTGTTTTTATTTTTAAACAGTTACCTTATTATACAGGCCAAAACTGAACACAGCAAACAACATATGATGATGTACGGTCTGCTGTTATATGAGAATCAAAAGCTCCAAAAAGGCATCCCCTCTATAAGCGGTAGATCCTTGAGATGTGCTCTGATTCTTTTATGCTTGCATGAGCATGTGATTATAACACTATCAATCAATTGCTATTACTGTTAATATTTTCTGAACGTGTTTCTTTTTGTTGTGATGCTACTTGATAAAAACCAATATTCAAAGAATTTTAAAAATTATTTCTTGCATATGGAAAGGAAGAGGTGTTCTTCATTGTTCCAACTACTAAGCAACTTGTCTAAAGAGACAATCTCTCCAAATAGAATAGTAACTTTGTTCTCAGCAGAAGAAACTGCTATTAGGGACAATAAATGATGTCCTAGGCTAATGCATATATCATTGTAATCTTGCTCAAGCGGTTGCAAGGTTGAAAGTCTGGGACCTCATCTATCAAACAGGGTCTGGGTGTACAAAGGATAGCTCTGCCTGTTTTTGGAGTAATTACTGGTGCATCATCTGTTTTCCAGGACAGAATTGGAGCTATTAAACAATTGCTGGTATATGGAAAAAGGATTCACACTTCCACAACCCATATTGTTTTTACTGATAAATTTCGGTAAGAGAAACAGACTGAAAAAATTCTATAGCCATCTCCTGGTAATGCACATGTCTATGGGAATTTTTGCTTCTCCCCCTTTGAGAGAGATAATAATTAAATAAATAAAATCTAATGTCTTTCTTTTAAAAAGAGAAAAGTATAAAAATTATTTTTGCTTTATGTAGACATAAGCTAAACTTTAAATTATAAAGATTCAAAAATATAATGGTTCAAATCTCAAATCTTAAAAGGCAATCTCCTATAGAAAAAAGTAAAGGAAAATATAAGCCTCTGGAGTAAATGTTGGTCTGCTAGTAATTTAGAGGCAACTCTGTTCTAATCAGGTTTCAAGTTGCAGAAAATAAACAATTCCTGGGCATTTACAGAGAAAATAAATACCAGGACAGAATATTCAACTTTAAGCATACTGGACAAAGAGAAAATAAAAATTAATTTTATGAATTATTTTTAGCTAAGGGGCCTAAGCTTTCAAAGACCACAATTTTCCTGAAAAAGATTTTCCTCTATCTCAATTGAACTATTCTGATGCTGAACTAATGCTGTTGACGAGATATAATGTTGTTTCTCTTCTCAGCATGTTTCCAATTTCTGCCTTTCTTTTTTTTTAAAAAAAAGAGAAATCATTTTTCTCTCCAGCAGGAAGGGAGGGAGGTAGGGGTGTGTGTGTGTGTGTGTGTGTGTGTGTGTGTGTGTGTGTGTGTAGTGAATTTCCCTGTATATGTGACCTCTAGCCCCATCTCATTCAGACCTCAGTATGCTTAAAGGCATATCAATACTCAGGGGCTGCTGGCTGTGAATGTGAGGTGGATACTTGCTTGCCCATACAATGTATATTGATTTCATATGTTTGTTACAGAGTAGCTTGATCAAGAACACACAATGCATGTTCAAACAAGACAAAAAGAGGACAGAAGTATTCCATGTTTTCATTACAGAATTAAGTTAAAGGTTTCACCAAAGAAGTGGTCTGAAGTGAAGTGTGAAGAGGCAGACAGAGATAGAGAAATGGAGATGTCTCAGAAAGGAGATCTAGAACTTTCAGGTTACATAAAATATAATTCTGCATCCATCGCTTCAGTGCTTAAAACCCTTGCAAACATTTCATCAAATGCCCACCTGTGTTTATGGATTAGTGCGTTGAAAGCCATGCCGTCCCTCCAGCTGGTGGTGAAGTTGTGAATGTTGACATTGGGATAGCTGAAACAAAAAAGGACCAAAGGAAAAACAAAAGAAAACTCAATCAGTATAGGTTTAATGCTTGGAGAAATGAAAAATGATAATAACCAGCTGCTTAAGATAGAAGATGTTCTGCTCAAGCACCCCCAAAGTATCTGCAGTCATTCTCAAGTCAAGTCCTAAAAATCAAAACAAGATTTGTCCTCCCGGATAATGTCCAAACCATCCTGTTTAAATATATAGAGAATAGATAGAGAGGATTCTGATGTTGAATGTATTACGAACTTATTGACCACAAAGCAAATTGGATTATCATGAACCAGGAAATCCTCTGAAGCCCTGATACAGTTGTATATAGAAAGAGGATGAGAAGAGGATTATTGAAGCCTGAAGCTTTTATATGAGGAGCCAGGTGAGAAAGAAGGCCCCACAAATAGGAATGCAAGCAAATGTCAGGACCAACACCATAAGTCTTTAGTGAGCTGCCAGATTGTGCAGCCTAGCCAAGATGACTGACTGATCATGCCAAACTAGAAGAAAAAGGCTGGAACAAGATCCTAGAAAAAACACCAAGAGAAGTGAGTGCAGTAACTTTTCCTAAAGGTACCCATGTAGTGATCATCTGAAAACAAAGATCAGCCTCTGTCCTGTGGTTGGCCATGTTAAAGACAACTGGAACTACAGAAGACAGGTCTCTTTCCTCTCAGTGTACCAAGCCCCTCATAAGAAATCTGTGCTTCCAAAATTGCAAAATGTGGCAGGCTGAGGGATATATGATGTGCAATTATCTAAATTATGTACCTCATAACTGTTGCTTCAGCAGTAGCAGTAGCATTAACCAAAGTACCTACAAAATATCATGGGGCAGTTCATATTGCTGGCAAAACATTACAAGATATGACATTCCATTGGATCATAATGTATCATTATAAAAATATTAGCACATGTTTTTACTTTTAAGTGGAGTACTTTCCTTAATCGGGCCACTCTTTTTGCAGAAAAGATATATGCACATAACTGCAAACATGCACACTCACTCACACACTCCTCCATTACTACAGAATGCTATATGGAAAATCTAGATGATCATTCAGTTCAAACTCACCCAGCTGTCTTCATCTGGCACCACAGAAGTAGGGCATCTTTAGCAGATTTCTTTTCTTTGTTATCTTCTGTTTCAACACTGATGTCCTGAATCTGTAAAGTCACATATTATATTAAGTCCTCTGCTGATTTATTTCATGTCTGTGCTTCTAAGAGATCAAAATTACCAAAGCAATTATATCATGGTAGAGTAAAATACTAACAAGTCAATAAACATCTTAATTATCCATAAATACATACACACAAAAACTTTCTTGCCAGTATTTAATGTTTCTAGTACTTCTTTCTTTAGCTTGGTAACAGGTAAATTGGGAATTTATTCCTGCTTTAAAAACAAGCATTGAAGTATTGTTAACTGACTCTTAAAGCGTGCTTTCTTAAGCATAGTTTTTTTTTTTAAAGGGCAGGAAGTCCTTAATTAGCAAGTACTTTGGATAGTTATGACAGTGATGAAAAAGTAATTTTGCAATAACCAATCTCCACAGGTCTTTAAAGAAAAGAAAAGCTGAATTATGACCATAAGCATAGTTGCAGTTTCATTTAATGACCATATCATTTAACAACAAGTTGTCTGACCCAACTATCATAGATAAATGAGGACTATGTCTATGGGCAATAAGATAGATCTTCTTGCAAGCAAGATCTATTAAACTCTATGTATTTATGTTGTCTGGAAACAGAATAGAAATAGAATACCTTTATTGTCATTGCATTCCATGAATACAATGAAATTTGAAAGCTACTCCAGCACAGTGCCCCAAACACCACATCACAATCATACTAGAGTATTTAAAAATTAAAATAATAATAATAGGACTAAATCACAAATGCACTGTTTGATTCAAGACAATTACTGCCTTGGAAAAGAAACTGTTAGAGTGACATGACAAACTGAGATTTGTCAAAAACTGAAACGAAAGTTTCTGAATTCTTCCTCATAGTTGCTGAAGGGAAGGAGTGTAACACACGAAGGTAGATGACATTAGCTCATTTTCATCGCAACTGAAGCAATATTTCATCCAAAGACTTTTGTGAGACTTTTGCCTGAAAGCAATTCAATTAATATCATGTATCCAAATACCATTGGTTTCCATGTGGTCTCATTTGATTTAAGATGCTGCATTTTGATTGGGTAATACCAATGCATTTCCAACAGGTTTAAACCCTTGGCCTGATTTACATAACTGAAGTAAAATGGCAAGAATAAACATGCCTGATCTTAATCCAAAATGAGATGAGAAAAATGTTCAAAACAGAAAGGTAAATAACTAAATATAAACACCGTATGTTGCAAAAAGTGATATATCAGAGGTTTGTATGTGAAGAAATAGCTGGAAAACAACACAGCTAGAAACATAAGCCAAGTGCCATTACAGTATAGATGATTTTGCAGTTACCTGGAATCTCAATATAATTGTCCAAATAAGTCCAAGAGTTAGCCTGTGATTTCCATCCACAATATCATGAGATCCCATGTTTTCAAGATGCACTCGCTGTTCTTTCAGAAATTGGAGAGCTTTGTCAACGTTTTCCAAGCAATGAATTCGCATCCTTCCCTTTGTTGGTTTGGGCTACATGGGACATTTTTAAAAATGAGGAAAAGAAACAATGATGAAAAGGTAGTAAAGGCGTCATTATTTTCAGGACATGTTATCAATTCTATATCCCAATGATCTTCAGATGTGGCAATTTTAAGATGTATGGACCTCAATTCCCAGAATTCCTCAACCAGCACGCTATGATGTAACAGGTTTCCCTAATCACTATTACAGATAGAACCATTGAGTTGCTGGTTACCAGAACAAGGGCCTTCTCAGCATTGGCATCCCAGCTGAGGAACACCCTTCCTGAAGAGGCTAACCTGGAATATAATTTTCAACAGCAGGCGAGGCATTGTTCATTCTCCCAGTTAATGTAAGGAGTTCAAAAATTGTTCTAAGACAATGACAAAGAATCGCTAAGAATTTAAGTGTTATCATCACTAATTTTGTTCAACTATTTAGCTGGCTGTGCGGACAGAGAATAAAATATTAGTTCATTCAAGGACTCATGTTTTATTATACTAAATTTTTTTAAATGAGTAAACCATAATGTTGAATAAATAAAACATCAGCCCCCCAAAAGATAAATAATGCCAAATCAAACTTTTTGTTCTGTGGGCTCACCAAACACTGAATGGGTGCATATGATCCTGGTTACGTTTAAGGGAAACATCCTGTTTTTATGTTTCTGTACTCACATTCCTTGCAGTGGTGAGAAAGTGCTAAACAAGCAAATAGAGCTTTGCATGCATGCGGTAATGAGAACTGGTAAGAGTCCAAGGAACCCTGTCTGCCAAAACGTAAACTCTTTTTAAAAAGGCCAATCAGAGCTGCCGCCATGACTGATTAAGAAGACCTCAGAATTAAGAAACTTTACAACTTCTTAGTCTTTTTAAAAATAAGACAGATGTTAGGAAGAAGAAATTAGTTCCAGCTCACTTCCATAAAGGAACACAAAGGAGCAAGCAATGCTCCAGGAAGATATTTAAGAGAAAATGTAAATTGTACACAACTACCTTAAGAGCATATGTCAAGTTGTTGCATTAAGAGGCTTTTATGTAGTTCATAAAAAGAAAGAGGGGATGATTCATTTACATGCAGTAAAAACTACAATTCACAACACTGCAGTGAATTAAAATGAGGACTATCAAGAGTTTATCTAGAACAGGGATGTCAAAGTCAAGGCCCATGAGCCAAATCCAGCCTGCGGGGTGCTTAGATCTGGCCCGTGGGGTTGCCCTGGAAACAGTAAGGAGGACTGGCCCATGGTGCCTCTGCCAACAAAAACAGAGTTCGGGAGGGCCACATGTGGCCATCCTGAGCTCTGTTTTCAACTAACTCCTGCAGCCCTCTTCGAGCAAAAACAGAACTCAGGAAGGTGTGCAGAGGGCTGCAGGAGGCCATCACAGTTAAAAATGGATGTCGAGCTGGCCACTACTACCTGCCCCCCCACCAAGGTCAAACACAACCCTGATGCAGCCCTCAATGAAATCGAGTTTGACACTCCTGAACTAGAACAATTCTTCAAATGAGGTAGGATTATTTCTACTAATTTCTTTCCTTTATACAGACAGATAGGCCAACAGTTCCCAATTCTTCTGCTAGATGACAGCATGGAAAGATGACTGAAAACCAAAAGCTTCTCAACCTTTTTGATTAATTTTAAACTGACTTAAAACTGATGGTGCCAAGATTAGCTTGGTTGGACTGATTAATCAATCCTCTGTCTATAGACAGATAGAAACAGTGTTGGTTTTTGATGGCTCAGTTGCTTTCAATATCTTCAAACTTGGCATATTCTGCACCCATGGTATCCATTTGAGAGATATGGAAATACAGTAGTATCTTGGTACTCGTTAATTGGTTCTGGGAGGCACAACAAGTAATAAAAATGGGATAAAGTGATAAAAAGATTAAACATAATCCCACCAAGACAAGATATGCTCATTGTGAGGGAGTATAATTCCAAAAAGGCAATAAATTTTCCTATTCTAAATGAGAGAACACTCTTCCAGAAAAAGCAAATATACAATTTGGAGATGCTTCTAGATCCAAATATTTCTCTTGTTTCTCAAATCATACAAATAGACAAGAATATATATGCCAATTGTTTCTATTTCTAGAAAATAATGCCTTTAAGACTATGGTGCTACTGACAACCTACATGCTTAACGACAACAATGTACTCTATTTGGAGCTACCTTTGTGTCTAATCCAAAACTTTCAACTGGTACAAACCTCAGCAGCCAGTTTAGTTTTATAAAGAATAAAAAGAGATTGTATTACAACTCTACTTACAGTACTGTGCTGGCCACACATTTCCAGGCAAAATAGAAAGTGCTGGTCATTACCACTGAAGTCCAAGTTAGTAGAGAAAATAGCTTAGTAGCAAAACTCTAACTGAAGAGATTTGCACAGAGTTGCCACAAGTTCATTTAAGTTGCCATCACAGCTTTACAGAACATACTTTGGACAGAGATTTATTAGCTTTTAAAAAGACCCTTAAAACACAGCCTTTTGTTCAAGCATTTATATTGGACAAGTTTTCAAAGTTAATTATATGTGCAACTTGTTTTGTTCATTTAATTTATATTCCAATTGTTCTTCATGTTTTTATTTTACATTTTAGTGTAAATTGTTGAGAAACTAATTGTGATTTATCTATTTATAGATCCATATCTACTCAGTCCTACTTACTTTGAGGGCTGAAAAGGGTCTGGGGAGGGCTGCTAAATGCCTGCCATTTTTTTAAGAGAACATTCTGTCCACATGAAATGAGAACATTACCAAGTAAAAATAGCCAACATTTAGTATAAAAGAATTGTATCCAAAATGCAGAGCTACTGAGCAAAACCCTGATATAGACAATTAAAATAAGCTATTGACACAGACACATCCAATAATTCTTCAAGGCACAGGGAATTAGTGTAAGTGAATGAACAAAAGCAAGGAGATAGAGAAAGGCTTTGGTGTCAGTGTTGTCCACTACTCACTTAGTAAACTAGTGGATTAAAAAAAAGCAGGTCTGATACTTGTGGGCTATTTATGTAAGAATACATGAAATGACTTTGTATCTATAATATCTAATCCAACATTTTTGTCTTTACGAATACAATGAAATATTTTTGGTAGCAGTTTGATTTTGGGTATATTATATATTCATGCAGAATGGAGTGAAGCTTAGTCTGGTGGAAAGACAGGATGACCCTGGACTTGGAAAAGTAACATTCAATTCCTAGTCCAGAAAAACAGTCAGACAAGTAATAATAAATAAGTTTCAATCCATGAAGTCAGATTATGAAACTGGTAACCTGGGATAAGGAAGCTGGATGGCAAGGAATGCAAACTTACTTCTTGATCTACTGTTTTATGTTTGTTTAAGATTTTCAGTTAGGAACTGGCCACACATAAGCAAGGCAATTAAATGTTTTTTAATCTCCACCACACACATATTCTTCATTCTGTAAAGGGCAAAATTCATCAAAGAGATTCTGTTTGTGTGAGCTGACCTTTGGGCTCACACAAATTATAAAGCAATTATTGTTAAAGGTTCAGTCATTTTTGTGCAACAGCTCCTTGTGTGTTGGTGTATGTGGTTGAAAGGAAAATGCTGTAGTCATTTTACATTCACAGAGTATTTTTACATTTTATATCCATTTCTTTTTCAAATTTGTCTTTTGATCCAATGACTTTATTAGCTAGATTTCTAATTTAAAATGTGCTTATATCTCCTTCCCCCTCCAGGCCTCCCCAGCTGCCCTGAGATAATGATATTGGCCTGGCTGTCTGGAAATTCTTGAAAGTATAATCCTAACTGATCTGAATGACAGTAGTTTGGGGAAGGCTAGCCCAAGGTCTTTATTAAGTATTTTATTAAGTGAAAATAATACCTCTCATTTTTCTCTGCTCTCGTAAAAAACTCTGGGTTGAGTGTACAAGTAAAGGTATAATAGAATAACAAAGTTGGGAAGGGACCTTGGTGGTCTTCTAGTCCAACTCTCTGCTCAAGCAGGAAATAAATCCTATACCATCCATTTCAGTCCAATCTCTTTTTAAAACCTCCAGTGTTGGAGAACCCACAACTCTGAAGGCAAGTCTTTCCATGCCATGAAAAGCCTTACAGAAATAATATTTATCCAAACATTTAAAAATTAATAGATCTAAGACAAATGAAATTAAATGCAACACATAGATGAACACTTTACTTTGGAATCTATTTGCCCTTAAATATAATTAATTCAAATAGAGAACATAAGGGATGTTGAAGAATAATAGTTAAGTTGCAATGAAATATTAGACATCTGTATTTTATTTATTGGATTTGTATGCTACCACAACTGACCAAACTCCTGGAAATGCACAATAGTAATCATCCTGATTATAAAATGATCACTTAATAAAAAATCTCCACAGCAAAAAAGCAATATCATCACTGGAGTTGTTCAACAACATGACATAAAAATGATGGGCCCACTGTGTAGTTACAACTTGCTTAGCACAAGTCAACAAGTAACGACTTTGAACCAACTTCGATTTTTGGGTGGTCTTCAAAATCAGCTCCATGTACTTTTTGCACTATAAGACGCTCCAGACCATAAGATGCACCTAGCTTTTGGAGAGGAAAACAAGAAAAAAAAAATCTGACTCTGTCTCCCATCAATTTTCCTCCTTGCAGCAAACAGCAAATAGGAAAATATCTCTTCTTATCTGTTTCCTGGGCTCATATGAAGACTTCTGCATTGTTCCCAAGCTTTGGAATGCATTTAACAGCTGTTAATAATTTTTAACATTGATTTTGATCTATATTTCTTCTTTTTGCATTTTTTTATTTATTGATAACCATTTTGGTGGGGTATGAATCAAATAAATACATACTGCATGCAATTTAGCTGATTTATTATTGTTTTCATCATGTTTCTAATATTACTGTCAACAGACCGAGTAGTTTATAAAGCACTTCATTCTAAAACACTCATGATTAAACATTTTAAAAGTCTATAATTAACTAAACATACATCAATACCAAATAGCACAGATGTACATTAAAATAACAACCTCTGATAAAACAGACAGAAATTGAACCCTAATAAGATGGAGTTTTTTATCCATCAGTCCTCTATTGGTTCCAGTGTATGATCTTGAAGGCAAAGCACAATACCTGAGGAAGTAGGTCCGTGACTTGGCGCTTCCCTAGTCTCAAGACTAGTCCTCAGGTCATATGTGGGAACCATATCCAGAAGGCACCGCATTTTTTGCTCTATAAGATGCACTCCCCCACCCAAAAAGTGGGTGGAAATGTCTGTGCATCTTATAGAGTGAATGTTGCTGAAGGCCCCCCCCCCACCAGCCCCTACCCTTCAGCCTCTGCCTCCCAGCAATTTTCCTCCTTGCAGCAAATGGCAAACAGCCTGGTCAACTTCAGCACAGCCTGATTTAGTACGAGCAACTGATTGGTGGTTGGATCGGCCTCCTGGAATACCACTGATCAGTTGTTTCAGGTTGCGGGGATCGTTGCCTCTGCGTGCCCCATTTTCGGCCTCCACATGTCCCATTTTTGGTCCATTCCAAGCAGCGGAGATCACTTGTGATAGGAATGGGCCAAAAATGGGACGTGCAGAAGCTGAAAATGGGACGTGCAGAGGCCAAACATGGGGCCCGCAGAGGCACTGATAGACTTCAGCGGCAATCAGCAGTGATGGGCAGCAGTGATTCCCACAGCTGATCGGTAGAATTCCGGAAGGCTGATCCAACCACCACTCATCTGCTCGTGATCAATTAGGCTGTGCTGAAGCTGTCCAGGCTGTTTTATTTTACTGCAATTTGGCTTTTTAAAAAAAGTTGATTATGCTAGATTGGTTGGGTTCAAGCGACAGTTAATGGCTCTTTGCCATTAACACTCTTATAAGAGGCCATCCTTGGATCTATCCAAGTTTAGACAACTTTTGCTCAGTCTCTTCTTTTGGAGGAAGGTTAAGATGGAGGTTGGCATTCAGAGGACCCTGGATGAAGTAGATTATTTAGATCCTTTTTAGTCTAGGTTCAGGTCATAGTACTGAGATGTGCATGGTCCAAACTGACCTTTGGACAGTTTGGTTTGTGATGCTACAACTATCCTAGATCTCTCTTGGATCTTGGCTTTCAATGCTATCATCACTGTATCCTTCTGAAGTAGTTTTAGGGGGTTGGGACTGAGAGGCCCAGTTTTGGAGAGGTTTCCCTCCTTTTTCCATGGCTGTTACCAGTCAATATTGGGAAGAAGAGGGGAAGAAATCAGTGCAGGGAGAAGGGAAAGAGGTAAAAGAAGCTACAGAAGGAATATATAAAGTTCCCCTTTTTGTCGCAAAAGCCACCCTGTGAAGCAGGTTGGGCTGGAAAATAATGTCTGGCCCAGGGGCTAAGAGTAGATTAGTTCTTGGGTCTACCAACTTCTAGTCCAACACCTTAACCACTACCCTGCAGTGGCTCTTCCACAATGGATTGAAAATACAGAGAGCTGCACATTTCAGAGTTGATTTTTGCCTAAAGCAAATCTATTATTTTATTTCTTGCTTTAGTTATATTTCTCAGATGCTGATAATAAAGGATAGGAAAGAATGCATTTTCTCTTGGCAAATACATAAAATAGTTTGGCAGCTTTTAAGATTTATAGATCTGTTGTTATGCCACTTTTTACTATATATAATAGCAATAATAGCAAGAAGCTCCCTCTAAACATATTTTATTAAGATTTTAAAAATGGGAAATGCATTTACTACACCATTAAGAAGGTATGTTGGTAGGAATTATTCAAGAGTTGAAGAACTTTCTTCAATTTTGCATAATTTCATAACCTCTTGTTTCTAGTGTGGGACCTATGTTATAAAACATTCTATTGAGATGAAATAAGTATCCCTAAGAACAGTTTGGAAGGGGCTCAAGGATATTTATTTATTTATACAACTACTTTAGCATTCAAATGGTTTAATGTTTAAAGCTTCAGGTTTTTATTCTTATTTCAATTGCAGTTTTATGCTTATGATGGGATATACATAGGTGGTCCAGAATTGTTAACTCTTTTTTCTAAACAAATCTATAAATAAAGAAAAGCTCCCTTAAAAACATCATAGGTCACTGAAAATGGTTCAGAAAATATGAAAATATGGTCGAATTTCAACCAGTTATAAGTAATGTAATAAAAACGTTTAAGAGGAGTGTTCTACACATCTAAATTAGCCCATAAAATATATCTAGTAAATATTTCAATTTTGTACTTTGGTTTATAAAAGGAAATTGCAAAAGGTTTAAGAAAGCCAAGAGTTGGCATTGTAATATGTAGAACAGAAACTTACAAGTCTCTCGCCTGAAAGAACTTCCAACAGTTTGATAAGCATTCGTCCATCACGAAGATCCGTGTACAAGTCTGTAATTCTACAGGATACCCGTGCCAAGTGAGAGTTAACCCACTTAGTGAATGTCTTTTTCTGTACTGCCTCTCGCTCATCTAGGGAAGAAGAAAATATACAGTAAGGCTTAGTCATAAGAAACTATATTTAAAACACAAACAGCATCTGGACAAGACACATGTCTGATCATATTTCATGGCTTATACCGAGTTGTCTACTCATTCAGGTAGCTCAGTACCTTCAATCCCAGCTGGAAGCAATTATCCAAGAGTGCTTCCAGGTTCTGATTCCTAAATTTTGATTTAATTAAAGATATAATGGTTTGACCCTTGATAATCTATATGCATATGTTGCCACTTATCCATTACCCTATAATTCTTAAACAAATTTCTAGGCTCCAGAGGCAAAGGTTTATCATAGATCCTGATAAAAGCACCAAGTTGAATACAGTATGTGGTTCATCTCTCTTCTACAACCCAAAATTAATCTCATGTATTGTTAAAACCTCCAATTTGTTGCCCTCAAGATGTGCTGGGTAAGGATTGGGAAGATGGTAAGCTTTCTCTCAGTCCAAGTCATAGGGGCAAATGCGTGGCGGAGTGAAATTTGTTCAGAATGAGTTTTTAGTTTGACTATTTCAATCACTTACAACATGTCCAATATACAATTTTGTTGGCTCTGCACAAGCAGCACCAAAGAGCAAAACTTTTTCAGTGATACTGCTAGGGACTAGTGTGATGCTATAAAACTTCAGGCTACTGTCACAACATATTCAAATAATATATGAGAGACACATCCACGAGCCCCACAATCCATTATCCGTAACAACTGCTTGCTCACTATATTTTTCAGTTGTGTATATAATAAGTGGCCATGTTCCAGTAAACAGATGAAGGACGTTTTTTATACTAGGAGAAATCTTGGGCCAATGCAAATAGTCCTCAACTTACAACCAACAGTCATAGCATCCCTGTGGTTGCATGCCTGCGATCTGGGTGCTTGGTAGCCCCTGTGCATTTACGACAGTCACATGATCACATATGTGACTTTCCTAGCTAGTTTCTGAGAAGCAAAGTCAATGGGGAAGCCATCACTTTATCTTTGTGTGAATCAAGGAAGGGCCTGTCTGGGCCATTCAGGATGAGTCAAAAATCACTTTCAGACTCACTTCTTCCCAGGCCTTCCAGTCCATGCATGAAAATGAGACTGGTTGAGTAGAATTTGATGAGCAGTAACTCATAAGGCAGGAGAAAATGCTATAACAGCCAGAAGTCTCAGCTTCATGACAACCAGTCCCGACCTGATTCTGCTCCCAATTCCCAGCCCCTTCCAACTACATCACAGGTTTCAGTTCTAATAGCTTTTCACTTGAGATGTGATGCAATTTGCCAGACAGCTCACTGACATTGGTTACCTGCAAATTATTATTGAATAGCTTCTGTGCTGTTTATTTTAACTTATTTTATGATTTGTTACTTCTTATATATGTTTACTAGATTTTACATTTCCCTTCACGCTACTTTGAATTATAAACTGTATGAATAAACTAGGCTGGAGAACATCAAAGACTAGTACTGATGGTCTTCCATCTTCTATGGATTGTTTGTAACTCTTATGTCGACCAAAACACAGTTCAGGGTTTTATCTTAACAGATATCTATTTTAATTCAGATTTATTCTAAAGTAGACTTTCTTTTTAAAAGAAAGCTGGCAAACAATTTTACCCCACAGTCAAATCCAGTTAAACAACAAAAAATGCCAATAAATCGATATAACATAAACTACCAATAACACTTGAAAGAATTTTGCCCTTTGCAGATTTAGTTCATGTAACTAAAAGCTAAAAGGGGTAAAAGAAAACTAACCAATGGATGTGAATTGTTCCAAAACTGCACCAAGCTTGAAATTAATCAAATTTAACAGAAAGCCCAAACCAAGCAGAATCCACTTAATTTTCAGGAATATTTTCACAGCTGTTTGTTCAGGCAATTTATCAACTATAATTGAGCGCCAACACCAGACAGGTCCATCAACTGACCATTTAATGTCCTTTATTTTATACACACAATGGCATACATTATACATGTGATAGAAGTATTTTGAAGTAACTTCTAGGAAGGATTTAAAATTACGTTCTCTGTGAGCCCCTTTTAATATCCTTTCAGAGCTTTTTATTACACTGTCATTATATCTGGAGGGAACTGTTTTGAAGGCACAGTTACCTTGTGGCAACAGGCAGAGTGATCAAATTTCTAATCTCTTTGTTCTTTCCAGTTTAAATATTTAATTGCTCTCCTCTAATGCAGATTGCTGAAACATCTTGAGAAGGTAACAGTCTAGGTCAAAGAAATGTAACCTGTGGCACTCCAAGTATTATAAAATTACAATACCTGCACTCCCAAGGAGCATTCTGATGGGAGAATGATACTCAGAATTTTATTTCAGCAATATTTGGAGGGCCACAGGGCAGTCTGTCCCCCTAATCAACATAATGCCTCCAGGCAAATCAGGGCAGCAATTCCTGACATAACTATAAGCCACAGGGAAAAGATAACTACTAACTTATTTTTCTTCACCTTCTCCATAACATTTACAGGTGGAAGTCAATTCTATATGTTACCTTACATATTTATTTCCGTATTTCTCTCTTATTTCCCAATGTTTTAAAATCTTGGGAACCAGACCAGGATAAACGTTCCTCTGCAAACAGTCAATTGTCCACACCATAAGGTGAGGTTGCTGAAGCTGATATAATTCACAGGCTGAAGAAGGAAGTACTTCATTACCAAGTGGAAACTACATTGCTAATACTACCTTATTGAGAAATACACATAAACTGATTCATGAAAATTGAGCTGCTCTTCCCTAAGTATAGTATAATCTCATAATACTGGAAAATAGGAACAAATCCTTTTACTACATTTACATAAAATAGAATTATATTTCACTCATGGAGAATATTAACATATATTTTCCTAGGCATGGTGATTTAATAATTATAACTCTAATGGCTAGTAACAAATCAACACCAAATAAAAATCAACCGATATGCTTTATAAATATATTATGCTAATTATTATGTTACATTGTGAGCTGCCCTGAATCATTTTGAGTCAGGAAGAGCCATTTTTGAAAACAAAACTTTTCCTCTTCTAACTACTAAGATTTAAAGCTACACCAAGACTAACTAAATGTGGCAGTCTTCTTAAGTTGCTTTAATTAATTAATTGAGAATTCTTTCAAAGCCATATCTGGTGGCAACCTGAGACTGACACACACTGACATTTCTTCCCTGCTTTGTCCAGCTGAAAAGATGATTCTCCCAGTTTAAGAACACTATGAATGGACAAGATAGCTGGGAAAGTCTTTGGTCAGAGGAAAGCTGTATGTATGTTGGGGTTTTTTTCTTGACAGGTAGTTTTGAGACCTCTCTGCAATCAGGGTGAACTGATGCGATTGTACTGGAAATCAGAAGTTATCTGATCATCTCACAACCATGGAAGATGATTGAAAGTGAACAAGGACAGTATGATCAAATTATTCTAAGAGGCAGCGGACAACCTTTGATTAGATAGGCATATTGAACTGTTCAATATCTAAATTTCCTCATTTTTCTCATTCCTCATCATTTCTCTTTCTTCAATGTGTCTTTCAGGTTGGGCAAGAATAGAGATTTGTTTTAAATGATTAACCCATTCTGGAAGTATGCTAGCCATTCAAGATAATCAGTGATAATAACCAATGTGAGATCACTGCACAAATGGACAAAAATATCATAAGGAATAGGCATAGCAGAAGACTGTAAATGAGAATTTCTGAAGATTTCTAATTAAAGCCACAGGATATGGGTGGTGCAGCAAATATCTAGTACTTTGCAATAACATTTATCTCCCTGAATGCGCACATATTGTGCAGGGAAAGAAAAGGGAAGGAGACAATATGTGCATCATGCAAAGCACACACAGCAGGAAAAGGGAAGTAGGTCTCAAAAGTTTACACTGATAACACAAACTTATCTCCAAGCAACACTAAGGACAGACATTTCCGCTGGACGGAAACCCCAAAGGACAAAGTGTTGTCCAAATAAAGGATTGGTACTTGAGATTTCTGGTCAAGATTTGAAGAATGGAGGGAGAGGTCTCTCCAATGGATGTTTGATAACAAGTATCCCATCTCTAAACCAATTGAGATCCAATACAGTGTGGATCAGTGGTGTCCAGGCTGGCTCTGGGAAATCTGGAAGTTAATGTCCACAAGTCTTAAAAGTCACTTGTGTTGGACATCCCTAGTCCAATTTATAAGCCAGTAGAAGGTTTTTGACTGCTAATAGTTCTGTGCAAGTAAAAGTGAAAATAGGGAAAACAAACAAGAAAAATCTGTAAGCTTTACATCATTTGTAAAATACTATAGGTGTGTGGGTAGTACCTGAAAAGGTATTTGACAGATTCTACTGAAAATTTCAAGACAGACTTCTCACAGTGCACTAAAATGTGGCTTTCTAATTAACTAAATTAGGACATATTTAGAATTTTGAGAATTTTTGTGTGCTCTCACCAAATTGTTTCTCATTGGCTTGCCCATTCACAACATAGTTTCCAAGCAAGACATAACCTGCATTAGAGTATGGATTTATCTATAAAGCTATTTCATAGACCAATTCCCCTCCCCTTTTCCTCACTACAGGGCCCTTTCTATTTCTCCAGTTTATTTTGTATTTCTTTATATTTTTTAAGGTAGCCAGCATATTTGGGGACAGCTTAAAGAGTGCCACTATGAGGCCACATGATCTTCTCAATGGTGGCTCCTGTTCTATGAAATTATCTTCCATGTGGAATATGTTGCTGTGTTCAGATATATTTTAAAAGTCCAGGTTTTATTATCAATTGTCCCTGGATACTAACTACCCCTAATATGTTTTAATTGTTTTTTTTATTCTGGCTTCCAATTTGAAATAGTATTTTATAATAAAAGAAATTACAGGATTGTTTATACTGTCAAATGATACACATACACATTAAAAGCTGTTGATTTTGAAGAATATATTGTTATATCAGTCTCCTACACTGGCTGCAGAAAAAATACTTCAGAGGGGTCTCTC